TTCGTCCTTAGCCAACGACAGTTGAAGTTAAGGCGACTCGTGAACAAATCAATCCTATATTTTTAATGCTCATCATTCTTTGTAGTCCCAAACGACAGTTTAGGGTGTTAGATTGATTGATGAAGTAGTTGATGCCACGACAGTGGGTCCTCTTGATTTTATGGTTGAGTTCTAGATTGGTTCTTTAGTAATAACCTGAATAATTGATTGGTTCTTGATGATCTAATCCCTGAGATACTTTCCCTTGATCTAACGTTTTAATTATCATTGCTTACACCCAATTTATTTATTGCTCGATTTATTTGTGACATCTTAAAACCAACTTTGTTTGCTTAGCTGAATTGGTTTCTCAAAAGATTAGAGTGTATTGTCGGTCCCTTGAACGAACCTAACTATTCTACATCGGATTAGTGATTCTAGGTTTGAAATATAAACCGGACAAAAGTCCTTTCATCAGGATACACTTAGAAAGTTGATGAGAAGGAATACAAGACAAAAAACGTCTAAAAATCAAGAGTGGTCATGCTTGATTCCAATATTTTATGACCGATCCTCGAAAGCTTGGGATCCGAAGGTTTTTTAAGAGCAAAATCAGTACATTCAAACTTGCGTGAGGGGTCTCCATGTCCATGGCAAATCACATACTAAGTTTATGCTTCAAGAAGACAAGACTCCCAAAACAAAACTTCTCAAACTCAATTTCTTACAATACAGCTTTTGTAGTTTGTTCTACATTGTGTTTCTTTTTCTGACTTTACTTTTTCATCTTCCAGGACTCTGGACAAACATTTAATAGATCATACACTCGATGAAGATTTTGCTTGGAAGACAATTCGTCAAGTTGCAGAGGGTTTAGCATACATACATGAAAAGATGATTATCCATAGGGATTGAATACCAAGAATATATTCTTTGACTCGCTAGGGCATGTGAAAATTGGTGATTTTGGCCTTGGTCAGTGTTCACTTTAAGGTTTCCTACTTAAATGAATCTCAGTATAGTATGTTTTTTCTACTTGATGATCTCATTACATTATGGTCTGTTTTTTTATACTTGATCAGCAAAATTCGTTGGTCAAGATGAAGATGTGGATTTCAGTGGAATTCAAACTGAAAACACTTGCGAGTATGGCAGTGAGTATTACAAGGCACCTGAAGTTGTTCCACATGCTATGATTGATCAAACGGTAATGTTTGTGTGAATTATTCTTTCATGATAATTGTGTATCTAAACAATTTATTCTTTGAGTGGCAGGCAGACATGTAGGAGTCATCTTCTTTGAGCTTTGGTGTCCATTTGGATTCGTCTTGGAGAGAGCCATAGTTCTTACCGAGTTGAAGAACAAAGCTGAACCACCTGAGGATTGGGTAAGGGACTATCCCATCCATGTTGCTCTACTAGAGCGTTTGCTCTCTCGAATCCCTTTGGATCCACCCTCGGCAAAAGAATTTCTCGAAAGAGTGAGTTCTCCGTTGAATTTGATTACATGTTAAATTAACTTCTCTATGTCAATTTTCTTGCACAACAAAGAATAGTGAACTTTCTTTTCTGAATTTCACAGGGCTATATGCCTTTGAAGAAGAAGAATTCAGTTAGACTAGAAGACTTTGCTAGCTGTAAACGCATCGAGACTGGTCTGTTTTCGACCAGTCTTCATGATATAGAGATCTTCATCATGTATTTTCTCCTCAAGACACACATGGAACCAACTGCGAGTAACCCCTCATATCTCACGGGCTTCTTTCATCCTTTGGCTAGCGATTAAGAGACGACTACAAACTAGGGACATATTACTCCGTGGCGGATCTACTGGGATTCTACAAAAATTCTAAAGATTTTACAAAAATTCTAATGAGTCATTATTATTAATATAAACTCTAGTTCATTTTATTAGTATTAAGTCTAAGTAAAAGATACTTTTGGTATAAAATCTTAAAAAGTTAAGATAAATTCTACAGAGAAACTTTTTATTTTTTTTCTTTTCTTTCCATCATTTCGGCCAAGCCCATCTCTCTGTACTTTTTTTTCTTTTGTCGGTTATTAGTGTCTATTGTACACATCTCCCCTTCCTAAAAACCTAGAAAGAAGCCGTCGCCTAGCTAGCACCTCCGCTGCACGCCACCTCGCGCCTCCGTCTTCCTCTCTTCTTTTTTTCTTTCGTCTTCTGTTCTCCAGCCACCACCGGAGATGCAGCCTAAGCCGTTGGAGATCTTCCGCTTCACCGTCCGTGAAACCGTGATCTAGAGCAAAACCCTAGGTCATTACTTGTCGGACAAGGCAGATCTATTGACTAGTGAGATATTGAGTGTTTGGTCGGTATATATTTTATTCTTACCTTTGACAAACAAAAACACTCTGCTTCTCTCAACACTTTTTAGACAATGGAGAAACTACTTGTTGGACAAACAAGGAATGGAGCTTCGAAGATTAAGATCGTCTGGACACTTGGACCGGCGTCTAGATCTGTTGAGATGATCGAGAAGCTTCTCAAAGCTGGTATAAATGTAGCCCGGTTCAATTTCTCTTATGGTTCTCACGCATACCATCAAGAAACTCTCGATAATCTCAGAACCGCCATACACAACACTCGCATTCTTTGCGCCGTCATGCTCGACACAAAGGTAATATATACAAATGTTTTCATTGATTTTTTGCTTTGATTCTTTGATTTTTGCTTTGGGATTTAACAATTTGGTAAATTTTTGGTTTTATAGGGTCCTGAGATACGAACTGGTTCTCTCAAAGAAGGAAAACCAATAGAACTAATCCAAGGTCAAGAGATTACAATCTCGGTTGATTACACCATACAAGGGGATTCAAACATGATATCCATGAGCTACAAGAAACTTGCAGAGCATCTCAAGCCTGGTGACGTGATTTTCTGTTCTGACGGCATCGTCTTTCTCACTGTCTTGTCCTGTGACAAGTCTCTCGGTCTTGTTCGCTGCCGATGCGAAAACTCTGCGGTTCCTGGAGAAAGAGAGAAAGTTCATCTCCCTGGGATTGAAGTTGACCTCCCGACACTTACAGACAAGGATAAGGAGGATATTCTTCAATGGGGAGTTCCGAATAAGATCAATATCATTGCTCTTTCCTCTGTTCGTAAAGGATCTGATATAGACAAGGTCAGGAAATTGCTTGGAGTGCACCGAAGGAGCATCATGCTTATGGCAAAGGTGAGTGGAAAAAACAGAACAATTTATTGGAGATAACTTGGGGAGCAAGTTATATAGTTGACGATAATTCATGACTTGACAGATTGAGAATGAAGGAGTGGCGAATGTAGATGAGATTTTGGAAAAATCTGATGCACTCATGGTGATTTGAGATTGGAAATGCCCCCCCAGTGGATAATTACAGCTCAGAAAAGTACGATCGAGAAGGTTAATGCACTCGGGAAACCAGTCGTCACAGCAATACAGATGCTTGACTCGGCGTCTCCTCGTCCGACTAGTGCCGAAGCCAACGATGTCGCCAACGCTGTCCTCGAAGGCACCGATTGCGTCATGCTCAGCGGCGTAACAGCCGCCGGAGCTCACCCTGAGACTGTCGTGCAAACAATGTCAAGGCTCTGCAAAGAGGCGGAGGATTCCATCGATTATAGAACTTTGCATATGAAAATAAGAACCCTTCTGAGACCGTTATCCAAAATCGAGAGGACTGCTGTTACCGCCGTTACCATTGTTGCTCGCAAAATGAATGCCAAGGCAAGTTGTCAACGTAGCCAAGAGTGGATTCAAGGCGGCGGTTGTGGCCAAGTTCAGGCCGAGCGTTCCTATTCTATTGGTGGTTGACCCTGTGTGCCCTCATATGGAGGCTCATGTGGCGAGTCGTGGTTTGGTCTACCGTGGGATCATTCCGCTGATGGGGTCTGGATCTTCGAAATCGACCGAGGAGCTGATTACATTCGGGATCGAAGCCGCAAAGAATGAGGAAATCTGTAAGGTTGGAGATTCAGTTTTGGCGTTGCGCCTGGTGGATGGTTCTGCTGTCATGCTGCCTCTGATGGTGGTTGATTAGGGCGCTTTATGGAGACGATGGGCATATTTTCATGTTTTTTCCTAGTATTTTAATTTTAATTTTTTTTTTTGGAAACCGGAGGTAATCCGGGTTTTTACCACCCGATTAATCATTTCAGGATGAGTTTAGTCGTCGGGTAGGTCACTCACCGGATTTTCTAATAGACCTAAAGCATGACACCATTTCGATTGGCTAAATGAAAAATAGTTAGATAATTTCGCACTTAAAGGGAATTGAACTATGGCCTAGACCCACAAAGCAACTCTTTCCCATGCAAACCACTAGTTTTAGATGAAAGTTGTAATTTTATGAGTTGACTTCGTAATACTGCCTACTTAAGCTAAATTACTCATAAATAATGTTCGTAAACTTGATATTTAGAAATATAACCATGACACTATTACATTCACTATTCCACTTTTCATAAACCGAAACTGCCCCTCATTTTGAATTCAAAAAGATATGCAACATATTTGTGTCACAGTTGTATTCTCCT